ATAGCCTAGGTTGCTGCGTGGAATACTGTATTACCCACACAGGAAGCGCATCCAGCGTCTTCCTCTTCGGTTAAGGTCTGGGCGACCGAGTGGACCTAAGTTACCCACCTGGTTTGCGCTTATTGGCAAAACCGTACGGCGCGACGACCTTCGACGTTGGACGCTGCTGGTGTAGCCGGTCACACGCCGGGCAATAGACCCATGACCGTGGCATTGCCGCAGCGTAGCATGGCCTTGCTGTAGACAGAGCTGTCGGCGCGTTGACAGCTCCGAGACGTTTCGGCGTCCTGGTGGTCTGTATCAGACGTCCAACTCATGACGGAGGTGGGAGCATGACTCACCAATGCTCCTCCATAGACGTGGACTGGCAAGCCCTTCCCAGCCTTCTCACACCAAAGTCCGGGCTGTGCCTTATGTTCGGCACAGTCATGTTGTTCATGACGAGAGCTGCGAGCGACACCGCGGTGCGCGAGTTCATCGAGCTCAAACGTTCAGGTCCGATTAAGATTATTAGTACTTCCTTCACCGTACCAAAGGCACGTTCACCTAGGACAGCCCACGACTGCCAATCTGACGTAGAGTGCAGTCGGGTGTCGCTACGACAAGCGACGTCCCGCGGCGTATCAACGCCCCAGAACTCATTAAACGCTCAAGGGGTACCGTACTCACGTACCCCAAGTGTACTACCAGAAGCCCATCACTGCCCTTCACCGGTTTAAGAGAGGCACGTCTCTCTGGGCTAAGTCCCGTGGTGAGCACAACCTGCACACCCATCACGAAGCCTTAGCGCTGTTCAGTAGGGCATACCGCCTCTACTGGTGGGCGGGGTGCCTTCGCCTACCTGACCGTGGCCTGCTCCATTGGACCTGGGGTCTACAGGCTGTGCTCACCCCGAGAACTGGCGAGGGACATACGCGCTGGAAGTGTCCATGTCCGCCGCACCCGTAGCGACAGACCAAGCTTTCGGCTGAGCTTGAGTCCATGGGTTCAAGCTCGCTGTACGCACCGGTATCAACGGGCTGCGTAAAAGCAGAACCAACAGCGTCATTGCTGCGATGCCCCGTCTCTAAAGGAACGCCATCCTCATCGTGGCGATGTTCGCGAAATACCACCCTGCTTGCGGTTGTACTCTTCTTGGAGAATGATTCGAATTGCCTCCTCCATAGTTGTCACTTGCACCCGGAATATCTGGGTGCGAGTTGGACCGACCTTCAGGCGGTCCATGAAGATTGTTGTCTTGATGTTTCAGGCAGAAGATTCTCTGCCAGAGATGCCACCAGCGTGCGCATCTCTTGCACATACTCCTGCAGCTCACGTTTACCTTGCTTACACGCGAGAAAGCGTGAGCGCTGGCGGAACTCGGTGTTCGCCGGTAGGAACGCAGCTAGAAGCTGTTCACATAGCTGAGCCCACGATGCAAAGCATACCAAGAGATGACGTCTCCCTGGGGTACGCCCAGTGCTTGGCACGTCCACCAAGGTGGGACAGGGCAAAAGCCACCCTGAAGTGGTTCGTCCGAGATGAAGACCCGCCTGAATGGCGATCTCCACCTCACGGACCCAGAAGTGAAGGTTCTCTCCTTCCTTCCCCTCAAATGCGGGGACCTCTACCCTTATCGGCCTAGGCCAGGTTGCCTTGGGAACGGCCATCGAGACCTCCAAACTCCCGCGGACGTGAGCGATGAGACCACGCTCGTAGGTCCCAAACGCAGCAACGCGTTTGTGCTGCTCGGCAGGCGTCGCCGCCGCCAAGCTGCGAAGGACATCTTGTCCAAAGATGCCTCCCATCTTCCGAGCTCCAAAACCGATTTTTCCACAAAACAAATGACCTGCCACAGCAAAGGAAACATATCGGTTTTATAAGACGCGTGTACTTAAAATTTGAATTACGACTATTTACGCGTAGGGTGGTCCACACATTCGTGAATCAATCCCTATAGGGCTGTCCAAACAGCGTGTAAACCCGATGCACTACCAGGATAATAATGATTACCATACATTATAATACAGCAAATCAAAGACTACAAATGCAGCCACTCATGCGCCGACTTTTTATATCTCTCCCGTGATTAAACTTAGTGTTTGTAATTTTTACTTTGCTTAAGCCTGCGTTTACATACTGCAGATAAGGCGTATTACATAGCTAACGTTATTCGGTGTATGTGTTTCTCGTATGTACCAGGTATGTATTGTGCGCTCTACTTAAAATTTCCGTGCGGAATGAATCATGCTCGCAATAGTGCAAATCTGTTATTCACGTGGCATTAATACATATGATATATGTAAAGGAAAGAAACCTCCGATTCTTTTTATTTTGCGTGCGAAGCCATCTATCGTAAAGGAGGAGCTACCAACATATACGGTTGGTCATGTATACTCAGTGCAGGAGAACGGTTGGATGGTTGCCAAAGTGTGGGCGATATATGTGCGACAGCTGGTTAAGCTCGATATCGAGGCACCATCAGTGCTTATACTCGATAACTTCGACGCAAATGTTTTAAAAGAAAGACTTGATGTTGTTGCCGAGACAACGTCGGCCCTGGTTTGCCAACAACCGCCCAACCTACAGCGGTCTGCCAGCCACTAGACGTCTGGGTCATGGGGCCTTTAAAAAAGAAAATTACGGGAAAGTGGCTATCAGACATCAGCGCGGAGACGAACTCTTGGCTGAAACTACTGAAGACTCGGCAAATGACGCAGCATCAGTATATTGTAGCAAGTGCGGACGGCTGGAAACGTGCACGTGCTGGAAGGATTGCATCTGTTGGGACGAGTTATTATCCGATGGAGAGTGCTGGTGTCTGCAGGAGTGCGTCTGCGTGACACCAAGCGAAGACGAAAACTGCGCGAGCGAATCGAGCACATACAACGAGGTTATGGATGAAATAAGGCAGAGAACAAGGCGGCCAAAAAACGTCTTGCTTCAATACAACGGACGATCGAGGCGTTGGGGGAGCTTTCAGAAGAAGTCGTAGCGAAAAGCTTCCGGAAAGCTATTCTAATGTGCCCGACAGTTGAAATATAATCACATTTTTGCTACTTTGCTTTTTGCTAATAAATGCGTTTTATTAACCAATAAAATTGTGCGACGGATTTTCCTGTCACGACAACAACAAAAAAGAACTACTATGGAGGATGGCGCTCAGAGGGTGACGGATTTCACCGTCGGTGTCTGTAGGAATCCACTGATGTACGAATAACGGCCACTTAAGAACGATTTGGATCGTTTTTAATTAACAGTGAATTTGATTGCAAGCAATTTAGTGAATCGGACCCAACAAGTACATTTGGTACAATTTCGTTTAAAAGAACTGCTGGTGATACGGTGAGCTCTATAAAGAACCAGATGGAAATCTGATGACAGCAAATTCTTGCACATTGTGTTTACGTCGTTTGGACGTAAGCAAAAATGAAACAGAAACAATGCAAAAATCATCCTATTCATAATGAAAGATTTCTTCCTGCAGCCTTTGATATACTTAATAAAATCTGCAGGTTTGCTTACGATAAGTAATTATCGATAGATCCAAAATGTAAGGGGTGGGTCTGTATTTTTTTGATACTCTGTAAGAAAAAAGGTATGTATTGGTACTGTATATCTAGCAGCTTTGAGGCAGCTTCGCAATCCGCCTTGGTAGCCGAGTGCTGGGCGACTTTGATTATGAATATTGTTCAACACGATTATTGTCCCTTAACAAGATGTCATCTGGTTAATATATCCACACGCTATTACAATAAAAGCTTTTGGGGTTTAGGACACCTCCCCCGCACCATCAGCAAATCGATACCGCTAATAGTTTTTTTTAATTAATTATGTTTTCTAATAAACAAAAGCCGCTAGCTCGACCGCGGTTGACAGCAAATAGCAACAGCAAAATTTGTGGAGGTGCCTTAATTGCCGATAATACTAACCGGGCAATAATCGGGATGAATAAACATGTTGCCAAGATTTATTTTGGTGTTTTTGCATCTGCAAAAATATGTTTCTGCACGTTTAGCAAATTTTTGTGGTTTGAAACGGGCATTACTTACACTGGATTAAGGGTACAACACATGACTACTTCACTACTACTGTACGTAGTAGGTAATACTTGTACTGGTACAGCGTGCCTTGAATACATGTACTATTAATACAAGCGTACTACAGTACTGTACATGTAAAGGTTTGTTCCAGCCGGTACACACTTCAAGAATATCAGACCTGGTTGTGCCATCGCACCGGATAATAATAAGTATATCATTGAAAAAGTAACTGACATGTTCTTTGAAGTACAAGTATGTGCCAGCCGCAAAATTAGAAATCAAAGCATCGTTAGAACGTTATTACCTTACTTACTTTAAAGTACATGTGCGTATAATAAACATGATATCGCTAGCCTAATTAAGCAACTGTTGTCGGGCATTGGCTCTATATCATAAGGATATTACCCTATCTAATGGCAATGCGAAATGAGTTGTATTGACACATGAGATACCAAGGTATGGCCCCTCGCTGTTAATCCTGCACTAGAGAATGGCTTTTCATTATTTTCTAGCATGTAAACCAGCTCTTAGTCGCGAAAGGATACATCAATTACTACATGTGTACTACTTTATACACGTTTGGCTGCGTGGGGTTCTGGTCAACTGCAGACATCATATAATATAGTACTAGAAACATTGAGACAAGTAAGCTTGTGTCGATTCTTGCAGCTGCTATTAATATTGCGAGCATCTTGTATCATGCTAGAATACATACTGAATTAATAACTTGGGGACGTTTCCAGATTAGCATTAATTTGACGTCGCAGACCTGGATAGTATAATAACTGCGGATCAAACCCACCATCTGGTTTTCGGTGCTGCCAAGATTTTACCTTGTGATCTCATGATGCGAGATTCTCCATAACTGTGCTTCCCTCCGGGAATCAACGCACACCCACTGAGCGTATTAATATCTCATTCACCAATTTGGCTTCCGGTTAAGTGTTGTGGTCCAACAACGAAACAAAAAACAGAACAATGCTGAGTGCTGCAGCTTTCGCGTCCACCGCAGTTCTTCTGGCGGCCTCGATCCCGAGCACGGATGCTCACGGTTACATGTTGATCCCCGAGTCGCAGTTTAAGGGCTCCGCGAATTCGGCCTGGATCGTGCAGATCGACCCCGTTTGGGCGAGTGAGGACTGGGATGGCAACAAGCCAGGCAGTGTGAACGCATTCAAGGCTCTGAAAACGGCCAACAAATTCAAGGACCTGAAAACGCTCATGGACGACACGTCCGTTTACGGTGCCGATTGTGGCTTCACGGACCCTAACGGTAAGGCTCAGCCAATTCCCAAGGATGGCAAGGCTACCTTTTCGCGTGCTCTTGTGCATGTGGGTCCGTGTGAGATCTGGCTTGACGACACCAAGGTGTTGTACGAGGACGACTGTTTCAGCAAGTACGGAAACGAGAACCAGGACATCAAGTCGGTGTTCCCTGTGGATTACTCCTCGTGCGACAACGGTGGTTGCAAGGAGATGCGTTTCTACTGGCTGGCATTCCAGGGCGTGGACGGCAAGACTGTGTGGCAGTCCTACAGTAAGTTGGTAGTGCTATTCCACGTCTCGTATTAGAGGTCATTATGAGGTTTCTAACGATTGATCTCTTGTGGCATTATAGAGGATTGCATTCCCCTCGAGGGTTCCGGAGGGGGCGGCACTTCGCAGCAGTCTCCGTCTTCATCAACTGGTCAGTCCGATACTCCGTCGAGCGGCGATTCCCCGTCTAGTGGCAAATCTGATAGCCCGTCAAGCGGCAAATCTGACAGCCCATCCAGCGGTAAATCGGACACCCCGTCGAGTGGCGATTCTCCTACTCCGGCCCCGGCATCGGGTGACTCTCCGAATCAGGGATCGGCGCCGGAGACCCCGTCCGCAGAGACCCCAGAGGTCAGTCCGGCCCCGTCGTCCAAGTGCAACGGCCGCAAACGTCGCAACTAAACATCGTCGAGCTTTTGCCAGTGTTGAGTGAAGATATTGGTTGTGTAGCTCCGCTGGTCAGTCTTTGACCCTGTGTAGACGGCTACAATATGATACAAATTGAATGGAAAGTGTTATGCGTAAGCCGGCTGGTGATGATCGATAGAGCTGATAGACTTTTTTTTTGAGCTTCTATTCGTACTTAGGCGAGAACTATTCGCACATTACCGTCTTCAACCAGTTTCCAGCAGTGATGTATCATTGCAGACCCCTTATTAATACCATACTTTACTCCGTCAAACGAAACGCCACCACCGTCCGACACGATTATGGAATATTGTACTGTACGTAGTATTACTGTTTAATGTACTGTGGTACTACATGTAGTTCTACTATACGTAGTATAATAATATGTTTGCTAGTAAAAGCAGGTCAATGAAGTTTCAGGGACTTGAAAGTTTCAAGTTACAACATTCCGTCAGGGAATGTTTCGAGATTGGCAACAGCAAATCTTAATGATGCCAATGTGACGATTTTTACAGAGGAGAGAATTGCCTCTGGGGGGGCGGACCCCAGTGGGGGGGGGGGGTCATCATGAGCTGCATGTACTATACTGTCGCGCTTGAATGTATGAGCGTCATGATGTATTCCTAGGCGACGCACTCTGCTCATCGAGTGTTCATTTACAGTACATGGTTGTCGATGATTCGTCGGTGTACGTTATCGGGGTTTATCCACCTAGCAACCTTTTTCAAAGCCTGGAGTGGTAACTTACGACGCAACAACAGCACGCCAAAGGCACTGGCCAGTATCGTACCTTATGGCAAAACTGATGGACGAATTGATTCCATCCGCCTCATCAGTTTTGTGCGAATGATAAGTAGCGAAGCGCGTACCAAATTATATCGTGCTCATATCTACCTTAATCGACACCTGACTTGGGCCATGTCAATACACTACAAGTATGTCACGCTGCCTGAGTTTGTCGTAGTACATGTATAGGACACACAAAAGACCTTATAAATTGTAAGGATGCGTTTTTATCATCATAAGTGCGAGGTACCTGATATAACAAAATGTCTTGCAGAAAGCAACATGTCGGTAGTGAAATAACTGCAAGAAAAGTGGTTTTTGTTCTATAAACATCAATATCATTTTTTTCGTGACAGACTTGCAGCTTTTTGTGTTCGTGTGATTTGTTAACCACTCAAAGTTGTGCCGGCCCCCTCACTAAGGCACCATTTTAATAACTTCTTTTTTTGTAATAATTGGTTTAAAAATATCTACGACTACTGGCCTTTTAAATTTTAGTAGTTCTAAGGTAAAACGTTTAGCTGCCAGCTTCTGCCGGAGTTCCATTGTCCACGATGGACGCCAACCGAAGTAAGTACGAACATGCATGGAGAAGTGGGCATCCGGATAGTCAATTTGCTGTCAAGATTCTACGCATGACCTGATAACACCCGCTCAAGTGATCCACAAACACCCTGAAAAGGAGCTTGTCTTCGCGATATCAAGCTGGCGTTGCTGGACGCCTGGCGATTGGGTAAGGAGACGGATTTCAGGTCCTATACAATATGAGGATCCCCAGGGTTCGCCCGACAGGTGGTAGCGCTCGATGTCAATTATGCTGCTATAAGCTTATGGTATTTGATCCTTTGACCACTTAATGTCATGACTCGAAAAGAATCGTATGATAGGGAGCTCCAGTACGTGGGACTCTCCCAGGGGCACTGACACGACACCCGGTTCGGTCGCCTCCGGTATTCACAATTCCTCATTCTCATATTTTCCTTTCGACCCACAAGCTACCCTTACGTAATTACTTCACCGGCAATGTTCACTGCTGCAGCTTTCGCGTCGGCTGCTGTTCTAGCAGCCTCGATTCCCAGCACCAATGCTCATGGCTACATGCTGATCCCCGAGTCACAGTTCAAAGGCTCCGCGAATTCGGCATGGATCGTGCAGATCGATCCCGTTTGGGCCAGCGAGAGTTGGGACGGTAACAACGCCGGAAGCGTGGAAACGTTCAAGTCTCTGAAGACGGCCAACAACTTCAAAGACCTGAAAACGCTCATGGACGACACGTCCGTCTACGGTACCGATTGTGGTTTCACGGACCCTAACGGTAAGGCTCAACCGATTCCCAAGGATGGCAAGGCTACCTTTTCGCGTGCTCTTGTGCATGTCGGTCCGTGTGAGATTTGGCTTGACGACACTAAGGTGTTGTACGAGGACGACTGTTTCAGCAAGTACGGAAAAACCAGGACATCAAATCGGTGTTCCCTGTGGATTACTCCTCGTGTAGCAGCGGAGGCTGCAAGGAGATGCGTTTCTACTAGTTGGCATTCCAGGGCGTGGACAGTAAAACGGTTTGGCAGTCCTACAGTAAGTTGTTATTTGTTTAGACGTAATGTCTTACTCTTACTAACGAAACTACCTCGTGGCAATGTAGAGGACTGCATTCCCCTTGAAGGAGCCGGTGGTACCTCGACCATAACGACGACCTCGCAGACTTCACAGTCAACGGGTGCTGACTCCGAGACTCCGTCCGGCGATCGCTCAAGCAAATCTTCCAGCGGAGACTCGAACACCCCATCAAGTGAATCTAATACCCCCTCAAGCGGAGACTCGAACACTCCGTCGACTGGAGAATCCAACAGTCTGCAAAACTCTCCTCCCAGTGGCGAATCCCAGAACTCCTGGACCGGCAACACTGCTACTCCAGCTCCGGAGTCTGGCACGACGCAGACGGGAACTTGGATGGAGTCCCCAAGCTGGAATACGTGGAACCAGGCCCCCACAACTAAGGACACGTCTTCCGATACCCCGACAACTACGACAGCCCCGTCGTTCAGCTTCCGCCACTAAATTTCTATTCGTCTGAGTGCAAAAAAGGTTTCCCACGTCGATAGCTATCCAGTCGTAGTCAATGAAAAATAAATGTTTAGTTTGTTCTATCTGTTGAAAGGGTCCCCTCCAACGCTTAGTAGAGAGAATATACTTTTACACCAGGGGCTCGTAATCTTACACTTAAATTATGCTGTGGTACTATTAATACATGTAACTTCGAGGAATTGGGCTGATATCAATAGTCGTATTTACTGGTCTACATCTGCGATAGAAAGGAGGTGTTTTGAATTTCTGGATACATGCCCGACCGTTCACGGGGGAAGTTCTCGGAGCAAGGGATCATCTCGGTATTTTTCCCACGTAAAAATTACTATTTAGCTCAAGACCCTAGGCTGATACCATTGTTTTGGGACATTAAAGCTGATTCCCGATGATTCGGGCAGTAGGAAGCACGTTGGAGATGCTGGATGTGTCAGTGAAGTGAGGGGTTACATGATGCGGCGAGTTAGAGCCGCACAAACGCGATCTTGTATCTGGAAGCGACGCTTTGGGGTTGCGAGCGAATCAGGAACGATCAACTATCGCTGTAGGAACCCGATGTGCAGAGGGGAAGCGACGTGAGGACGGAGAGCAGTGCCGGATCGCCTTTTACTTTGGGATGTGAGCACAGATACGTAAGCAACAGTGGGTGCGGGAAATACAAGACAGCGGGTAGGCAGCGACAGCGGGCGACTAGACGTGGAGGAGAGATCCCTCCGAGCTACTGTATGGCCGCGAGGTGTAGGGTAGGCGCTAGAGGCGTGATCCAAGTGGCTTTAGTTGGCGAGGTTTAGTGGGGATCGAATCGTCGGTGCTTCTCTCGGCCAGAGCTGCACGGGTGGAGGTTGGAAGGACAGAAGCAGGGAGTGTGAACGCTTGGCAAGTTACGGACGCGTGGTGAGTCAGAGAGGGTAAGAATAAGACAGAGAAGCGGTGTGTTCAGGGAACGAAAGCCTAGAGCAGATCCGTGGCAATAGGTCGAAATCTGGGCGTGTGAGTCAGGATAGTGGCATCACGCCACCGAGAGCGAGTTCGCGGCGGCTAGTCACAACAGGCCCGCGTCACAGGCGTTGAAGGGAGTAGTAGATAAAGTAGGGACGAGAGCTCCGACCCCTCTGCGAGGGGCCTACAGTGTGCAATGGGGCGTAAGCGAGCTGTGACACTATCGCTCAGTACGCGCGCTGGGTAAGCTGATGTCGGCTACCATACTTTGGCGGGGTTCTCACTGCTCAGCTCATCCCTACACCTTTCGATGGATGTGGTAACACTTCTGTTATTTCGGGGGATCTCTCGTACCACGTAACCGACCTGATAGGTGTACCTGTGCGCAGCAAGTATAAAATTTATTTCTTAATCGGTGGCTACACTTGCAAAGTAAGCGATCCCAGTGCGACAAAATCATGTGTGGCGGCGGTATGTATTTATCTTGAACAAGGTCTAGGGCTTGGACGTCTGTTGATATGGCGCCGGTGTATGCTTGCTGGGTATGGCACACATCAACGATCTTCGAAGAACATCAAAGCAGAACATTTATGGCTATAGTGAAGTCAAGACATGGAGAAGCGATATGAATGATCAATATCTACCTATCTCAGATGCTGTCCACCGCGTGGATCGCCAGCGGAGCTGCCGAATGTGCTGGTGAACTCTGGCGCAGTGCTCAGTATCATTTGGGCTATGGTGCGAAACATTGTGACGTACTTCAACCGCGTATTCTCGCACGGTGACTCCATGCTGTTAGCTGCCAAGCTTATCGGATTTTTCATCGTCTACAACCTGGGACCGAGCGTGAGCATGAGTATTCAGGAGTATTTCGGCTGGAGCTATCAGAGTTTGATGTACCAGGGTGACTTCATGGGCTCTATCTCCATCGCTGTGGGTCTCATGTTCGTTGCGATCTGGGTGCACGTCGAGAAACCCGCGTCAGGCTAGAAGCGGTGTTTCTTGGTTGAGGCAGCTGTATAGTAGCGCCGATGACACTCATGTCAAATAAAAGGTGCCTCTACACTCAATGTTTAGATGCTAAGGGGGACGACAGGAGAACAGTGCAAGTTAGGCAGATTAGATAGACGGACTAAAATAGACTCACTTCGGCATTTGCCTTCAAATTATCAAACTAAAAGTCAGCA